GGCCAGGGGGCCGAAGGCATTCCCGGCGTGCCATGTGGGTTGTTTTAGCACTTGGGGCGTTGTGTTTTGGGCCTGCTGTGCTCCCTGGGCCTATTGGGCCTCCGTCAGAATAGCAGGAGTCTATGGGCCGGGAGTTCCTGGGCCATATACTCCATCAGGAGTCCCTCACTCCTTTTGCCGAAAGGCACTTGAGGGAAAAGGAGTAATCTGTGTTTGCCCTTTTGGTGTTGTTCCATTGTAGTCTGTAAAGTTTGTGAGTAGGATTCATATATTTTAATATTCTTCCTTGAGTATTAATTAATTCCTATTCATATTTCATATTAATATTTTAAACATTACTTAAAGTATCAACTAGTATTGTTTCTCATATTAATAATTACTAGAATCAATCGGTTAATACGTTTGTTATTAATCCGGTTCTTTCAACGGTAGTAAACTTGGAATATTAATGCGTGCATCTCATGGTTAATATGCCAAGGGGAATTAATTATATTGATTAAACCAATAAACCGCTTGTGTTGAGGTTATCAATCTCAATCGTTTTCATCTTAAGTTTATTGCTACTACCAAGTTAATATACGGCGCTTGTTCTATATTGACTCGATAGTAAGTTTTATTAATGAACGCATCTCGTTATTAATAACTACCCTCGATGAACTGGATATACTCCTCGATTGAGTATTCGAGAGGAAGATAGTTAAAGATATAACTGGGATCGACGAACATTTCATTAAGTGGATAAAAGCAAAACCAAGTCTTCATCTCATTGAATTAAACTCATATAGGTTGTTTATCTTAGTGTTATTAAACCAAACAAATCTAAACCCCCCTTGTTACTATTTATATAAAAGAAAAGTATTCATTTCCCTGTGGATACGAACCTTACTACATTATACTACGTATCAGTGTCGTATTGATTAATTATTTTGAGTGCACCTAACGACGAGTGCACGTCATCCATTCTTGTCAAGTTGAAAAACCTAGGTTATCGACTAATTTATTAGTAGTAGACTTAATTTGAAGGCGTCATATTAAGTTCGTTAGTAACACTTATGTTTGGCAATGCTTGATACAACAAATTAGTTTATCCAAGTTAAATAGTTTGTTTTTAAAATAATGTTAGGTATTATTTTCTTTAGTCTTTCTAACATAAACTTGAAGGCGTTTTATTCTTGTCAACTGAAGTGTCATCCAGTAATACTGATTGATGGTCCCTGGTGAGGTAAAAGTCTAGAGGGGAGGGGGTGAATAGACTTTTAAATCTTTTTCTTTAAGCAACCCTTTCTCCTCTAACAAAGTAAGTTTCAATATCTTTTGAAAGATATTGTCACATTTAGCGGAAGTCTTGACCCCATACGTGTGACACTTTATAGTAACAAAGTTTATGATCCTTTAATTTGATGGAAGATGGTTAAACAGAGTTCTAATGTGTTTATCAAAATCAGCTACCTTAAGGAGCAGGCTGCCGAATGAGGTTACTGCTTCAGTGTTAGAGACATAGTGAAGTCTAAAACATTGTAGGACTTTTGGAATAGACTAAACACATAGACATGAAGGATTTTGACCTTTGTGGATAGATTTCTTTTTTATACAAGAATGAGGGACTAGGAGACTAATATGAAGTAAACTGAATAGTTTACTAATAAGTGTTTTAGAAAGTTGTTTTTAAGGTGACTGGAAAGATGTGGAGGTGAGCGAGAACTGTTGGTGTTATGAGACCTGAATGTAAAAGGTGACACAAAATATATCCTGGTTCAGAGGTGGTGTAATCCTTCTACATCCGGTCCCACCCTCTTTCAGATGGATTTCCACTAAATGAATTAGTCATTACATTTAGTGCCCAATCTATCCTTTGCCGCAAGCATAGATTGCGAGGTTTTTACAAGGAATTTGAACACCATTCCAAGCTACTCAGTCCTCCAAGGTTTTTCACTAATGGCATTAACGAGCCAGAAGTTACTCATGTCCTTGATCTTCACATTCCTTCTGGATTTGATCACAAAGCCCTTCAGAGTTTACAAACTAGTATAGTTTACAAGAGTAAAGCTAAATTACCAAATAACTAAGCTCTAAAGATGTATATTAATATGAACTATTTTAAGAGCTTAGATGAGTGGGGTGAGAACAAAGAGGATGAATGATAATCAACACTTTCTTCTTTGTTGAATATGTCATGTAGGCTTATTTTCCTTCTTAGCTCCACACTTAGTTCTCATGAACTCATTCTGTATTTAAAGATTTGAGTTGTTGAAGGTCTTACGTTGGCTGAAGAGATTCAATCTTGACCGTTGGTTGATCCATTGATTGATCTACTTGACTCAAAGGCAACATGGTTGGCTTTTGTCTTCTTGTGGCACGAGTTGTAGCTTTGTCCAACTTGTATTCC